ACCTTAATAGCTAGCTAGGATGACAGGCATGAGCTACTGATCACCATCATAAACCTATCCTTTGTAAAGCATCTAAAAAGTGTTTTTCGTTTTTCTCTAGCATTATAGTCTTCCCTAGAAAAAGAAAGACGTCTTAAACAACACTTCTTTGTCAAGCATGATCATGAGGAGCAAATACCATATTCTAACTACACATCAGGCTTTATGTTGGGCACATGTTAAGTGTGATTTCGTTGACAACTCTTCAAAATATTTATTAGGTAGGATTTATTTCTACTTTGCAGTTAAGGACACTGGGACACTAATTTTCTTCAGGCCATAAGGTTAGCAGAAATCCATCTAAACCCAGGCTTAAACTCCAGTTTAAATCTTCCTTCACAGGAAGATTTCCATTTCCCCCAGAATTCTACAAGTTGTTGACTGCTGGCTATTCTTAACTGTTTTTCTGCCTGTTAATTGGCTCTTCTTTTGAATATTTGCCAGGAGATGCTAAACATAACCAGCACATTGATTAAATTCTTCCATACATGTGTTTGTTTTATTTTTTTTATAGTTTTACTTAAGCAATTGACTAATGTTTAGATAGAAAAGTTCTTTTTTTTTTTCCATTTTAGGATTATCCACCACCTTATTTTTGTCTTGGATCAAAAAGAATGGAATGTTCCCTACAACAGTTTCATCAAAACCAAGACAGTGTACCACTGTGTTATCTGTTTCTCTTTCTTTTCTTCTTTTTTCTTTTGCCCATCCTGAGGCTTGAACTCAGGGCCTGGGCACTGTCCCTGAGCCTCTTTGTATTCAAAGCTAGCACTCTACCAGTTGAGCCACATCACCTTTTCAGATTTTCTGTGGTTTATTGGGGATGAGTCTTTTGGACTTTCCTGCCTGGGCTGGCTTTGAACCATGATCCTCAGCTCTCAGCCTCCTGAGTAGCTAGGATTACAGGCATGATCCATGAGTGCCTGCCTCAGTTGTTTCTTTATTGGTAAAGAATGTATGTGTGTGCGTGTGCGTGCGTGCATGCGTCTGTGTCTGTGCGTATGTATGTTCATGTCATTTACAAAAAATTCCCATGTACTTGATTTTTACTAAGTCTTCTACTGCACAGGAATCACCAGCTCTAGGGGAACTCACAGTTCAACATCCGCAGTGAAAGATCCATTTAGTGGCTATGAGGCTTAAGTAATGCTTCACTTGGAAAGAAAAGAGGTTTTGTCTCTCTGAGAAGGTCCATCTAGTATGGCCACAGTACAAATTGACTAAGAGGTAACAATGATAATAAAATACTGGGAGATGTACCTATTGGAAAAGGTAGAGGTGTGTTTCAGGCTTATTGTGGCATCTAGCACTTTGGGGAATATCACCCTATGAGATCCAATCCCGAACTGTCCTTGAAAGACGTCAGAGTTAGTGTGCTGTGCCTAATGTGAATGATGATGCAACACTCCACGCTCGTTTCCCTTTGCAAACACGGGGATGGTTCTCTCTCAGGCTTTGTGGAGGTGGAATCGTGAGCACGAGACATCCAAAGGCATTACAAATTCTTCTTCTGTTTGAGAAATTAGAACCCTTCCCACCCCCTTCCCTTTCCCCATAGTTTTGTAGCATCAGCAAAACCAGCATCCCAAACAAGCATGCCTCACACAGGGAGCCAGGGAAGGAGAGGGGACCGAGAGCAGGTGTTCAGCTGTGTGGTGAAAGGCCCATTTAAACATTCAACAACGGTGAGAGGGGAGCATGCAGTACAACAGCCACTGCCATGGCTGGTGAAACCAGCTCTTCTCCATTCAGGGTAAACCCAGCCCCTGAAAGAAGGCACAGAATGAAGCAGGTTTCCATAAACCTACTGCATTGTTTACTTTCAATCTTATTTAAAGAATCATGCTTTTCAGGAAAAAAAAAATAATCAAAGCAAGCACTTCCCATGCAACCAGCACTGCTTCCATGTCAAACACCCCATGAGCTTTTAACCATTAGCGACAAGAAACAGGCAAAAGCAGCTCTCACATTGCAAGAACTAATTCATTCTCTTTCATAACTCTTTTGAAAAGCAAATGGAGATGTAAAAGCTCCAGTGGGGGGCGGGGGGGGGGAAGGGAGGAGAGAAACATGCGAGATGCATTTGTGTCTAGACTTTGCCAAGAAAATCAGGGAATTTAAGTGCACAAAAAAATCAAAATATCTTGCTAAACTAGAAATTCAAATCAAGATTTTCTTTTTATATATAAAAAAAGCCAGCTTCCTATGTGAATGCTTCCAGTCTTTAGAATTTTGTGTTTATGCAGTCAGCGGAGAGTGACTGTCACTGTACATTTGCGATGTACATGCTTTCTATATGGCGAGTAGCAACAGCACAGGAAAATTACACAAATAAAAAATTGCTTTTCAGGCATTCTTTCCCCTTAAAATAGTACACATTCCTGTCAAGTGCTTCACAGACAGGCTATTGGAAAAGCAGATGGAGCACACTAGGATATCTTCAGGGTCCCTACAGAAAACCTTAAAACTGGGTTGGGTCAAGGAAGCAGAAAAGGAAATACAGGTGATCGCTGGGTGTCAGCAAACAATGGCTGCCAGCAACACGCAGAGCAGGAAAAGACGTGGAGGAAAGCCCACGGCTGTCTGTACAATATAGACAGATTTTTTTTCAAATGTTAATTTTCAAATGAATGCCGCTATTATGCGGCTACAGAAAGGAAGGCATAACCAGGCTGCGCTGAACTCCCCCTTTTACACACAAGGCATAAAGAGGAGTAAGGGGATGGGTAAAGTCAATTCTTTGTGCTGCTACTTAATCAATCACACTCAGTTCTACTCAATGGCAGGGCCAATCCATAGCCCACTCAGCAGTTGATAGGTATCACGCTAGAAGAACACTTGGAGCTCTATCCCAAGGAAAGGGCAAAGCTCCCAAAGGAGCATGGTTTTCTTCCATAGGTTTTCATCCAATAACTGAACAGCAGTTTATAGGAAATGTCCAGGGCCTGAAAATAAGTGAAGACATTACTTTATTGTAAAAATTCCGATTCTCCCACAGGAAATCATTTCTTTCAAAGACTGAACCCTAAAATCCTATTAGAGGGATCCCAGGCTCTCTAGTCTGGACTTACCAGGATTACCATTACATTCAGCAAGGAATAAATATGTTCTTCAAGTGTTACAGCCCACGCTTACAATCTGTCAAAATGTAGAGGCAAGGAGTTGTTCTGTGTTCCTGACTCTATACATCTATCACTAAGCTATCACTCTTCCCACAGATGGAAAAAAGTCAACAATGAAATAGAAAAGCTAAAAATAAGTAACTCAGTAATTGCTCAGAAAAGCTATAATGCTGGGCACAGGGTTAAATGTATATCCCCTCCCCCCACCCCCAACCACCCTTTTTTAATGACTGCTAATTTAAAATAATTGGAATTAAGAGCTCAGATCTAGGAATCAAGACAATAAACATGTACTGCATAAATATGTAAAAGTCACTCATAAGTAAAAGTCTAGGCTCATAATCATATAAGATCAGTGTTCTGGATAAGTAGCATGTGCCCAGAATGCAAGTTGTGACTGATATATGTTGCTGCAAATGCCATAAAAAATGGTGGCAGCAGCCACTGGCACTTGCAGTAATAAAAAAAAAAAAAGTGTCATTCCCTATGAGCAGAAATGATCTCTTCACTCAGGTGTTCACACACTCATTTCCAAGAGTCAATCAAATCAATATTTATTAAAAACCTACTGTGTGCCATTTACTATGCTCTAACAATTGACAGAAAAGATTGCACAAAATGGGTGTGGTTTACATGCAAAAGAACATTCAAAATATATGCATGAGTGTATCTAGTCAATTTTAGAAAAGGGTAACCCAAAAAATATCAGATGCAGAAAAATTAATAAATCATTAACTTACATATGTTACTTTTTGTTTTCTTATCAGTCTTTAAATTTTTTATTAGTTGAGAAAGAGTGTAAAAACCTTAAAGGTTACAAGTTTGAAATCTTACATCTCAAAAGGATACAAGTCTTACAAAGGTAGTTTTTAAACTGTTTCTAGCTCCAAAGTGATTCATCTCATCAAGTCGCATAGAAACCATAATATAGATCTGAGACAAATTTATTTCAGAAGCACAAATTGATAATATTGACTTTTTGTTGTTCAGGTACTAGGGTAGGAACTCAGGGTCTTAGCACTGTCCCTTAACTTCTTTTGCTCAAGGCTCGCACTCTATCACTTGAGCCACAACTGTACTTTTTATGTGATTAATTGGAGATGAGTTTTGTGGGTTTTCCTGCCTTTTCAAACTGCCATCCTCAGAACTCAGCCTTCTTGGGATTGGAGATGTGGCTCACTTGGTAGAATGCTAGCCAATGAGCGAAAGCACCAGTTACCAAGTTGGAGTCCCAGTCTTAGACCAAAAAAAAGGAAGAAGAAAGAATTTAGCCTCCTGATTATCTAGGTATGCAGGTGTGAGCCACTGGCACACAGCAATATTGACTTTTAGGTAAACGGAATTTAATAAAGAGAAAAATGTGAAGTAAAGGACTATAGATTATATTTACATCTTTCCACAAGACTCAGCATCTGATCCTATTCTGTATTTTTTGTACTCAGACATCTCTGACTCATACACCTAAGTGATTGCAAATCGTAACATTTAACAGCTCCCTTGCAATCACAGGTTACTCTCCAAGCAAACAGAGACAGCAGGGAAAGCTTTATCCCACAGTGTGAACCAAAACTCAATAATCTATTAGCACAAATTATCTCATTGTCAGTAGTCTCAATTTAAAGTAATATTTCCCATATTGTACACTCAGCTGTGTGTCTCTTTTTTTATTGTAACGTGTAAAACCAAATTAAGTCCTTGAGAAACCCAAAGCTCCCACTCAGAATGTCCTAGGGTTTTTATTGGAAAGCCCAAGAAGCCTGCCATGATATAAGACATAGTCAGCAGCCAGCCATGCCCGGGATTCAGATAGACACAGCACACAAATGCTGGTTGGCACACCTAGGATTCCAGCAAAGTATGCCATCTGCAGATCTGCTGGCCTTTGATTTCCTTCATTTCCTCCCAGTGATCCTGTTCCTCTTCTCCACTGCTGTTCTGGCCCAGAGCAACCCAGCCAATCATCTCTTTCCGCTTCATCGCACGCCTGTTATAAATGGAAATCATCAAGGTGACATCAGAAAGCTGGAAGAGGGCCACCTGGAAAACAAAGGTCTCCTTGTACACGGGATTGGGCTGACCACGTCGAATGGACGTCTTGCAGCGGGACATCTCTTGGCCCACAGAGTTAAGAAGAAAGAGTTTTCCATATGTATCTATGGACAGAAAGAAGAAGAGAGAGAGGAAGGTGAGAGAAAACATCAGTGCTCTCCGTTTTCTTATTTTAGAGGTACTATTTATGTACATGGGCTGCAACTTTCCCCTTCCAACATACTCATCAGTGTCTTTAAGCTCTGTCCGTACTGTTGGACCAACACATCTTTCTGGAACTATTTAAGAGAAGGGACTAAGCCAGCTACCAGTGGCTCCTGACTGTATTCCTAGCTACTCAAGAGGCTGATATCTGAGGACTGTGGTTCAAAGTCAGCCCAGACTGGAAAATCTGTAAGACTCACCTCCAGTTGATCACCAAAAAGCTGGAAATGGAGCTGTGGCTCAATTGCTAGAGCATTAGCCTTGAATTAAATAAAGCTAAGAGACAGTAAGACTTGAGTTCAAGCTCTGGTACTGGGGTGGGGGTGAGGGGATGGATTGCTACGTTAGCATTTTATGCAGCTCAGAATCTGGCATGTTGCTGACATTCATTAGAACCCGCATTTGCCTATATGCCATGGTGTCTGTGGACATGCATGGATCTTCATCCACAATTTATTTATAAAATAAGATAGACATGAATACTTTTCTCTCTTTTCCATGATCAGATGACTGCTTGATACTAGTGTTCAAACAAGTCTCTCACTTCCTACACGTTCCATGGACCATCTCATGTATTATTTCCCACTTCTCCTTCACCTTTCCTTTTTGTGCATGCTCCCCAATCCCTGGTATCTCAACAGATAACCACCTTCCCATAACTTCTATTAATTAGTCTGTTGAGTTTGGCCATCAGTTTCCCTAGGAATCTTTGATGACCTGGTTTCTATCATTTCAGCACATACTACCCTTAAAGCATTCCCTGACTCACCTGTAAAGACTGCCCACTTTCCAGTATAGAAAGAGTGCTTTGATTACTGGTCCCCTCAACACAAAACTCATCTATTACTTAATATTTATTGGGAGGAGTATACAAGATTAGTCAGGCAACTCAACTTTCTTCTTCTTTTTCTTCTTGTCTTAAGTTTTCAAACTTACAAACTCATTTTATAACCCTTGTATCAGAAGACTGTGCATTTTTAATTTTTAAATGCAATTTTGAGTCCTCATTTAGATGTGTACTATCCTTTAAAAAAATCTAAATGTGCCAGGTGCTGTGGATCACTCCTGTAATCCTAGCTACTCAGGAGGCTAAATTATGGTGATCATGATTTAAAACCAGAAACAAAGGACTGCCCATTCATTTTGTCGTATCATTACTAAATGACTCCATGTTCTTGACCACATATATGATATATATGCATGCAATGGAGGGAAGCTAGGAGGACAGAATCAGTGAGAAATGGGAAAACAAACAACAGAAGAGCCTATCAGCTGCACTGGACATAGATGAAAATGAACTAAGCAACCCAAAGACAGCGATGGGAAGGGAGGAATGAGAGGGAAAGAGGGGAAAGCCTACACTAAGCAAAAAGAAAGAAAGGTACACATCACCTGATGTGGAAGAAATAATTATATTTTCAAAGCTCACAGAATTCCCAAACTTTATAGACTATGATAATGACAATTTTCCTTGTGAAGGTTAAAATGTGTTTGTGACTTTAACTAAGGATCACTACTCCACAATACTGTGAAATTTATGTAATCACCTAATCTCAACCAAAAAAGAAAAAGCTAAGAGAGAGTATAAGGCCCTAAGTTCAAGCTCCAATATCAGCACAAAAAACAAAAATAGACAGATGGATACATAACTTTCAAAAAATAAAAAGAAAGAAAGCTGGGGTTAATAATTCCTTACTCATGTTGTATATCTTGTGTTGTTTCAGAGGAAATGTTATTTATGGAGACCTATGCTAAGCTTTCTGGTAGGCTATATGCATATAACAATTAAATAGTACATATTCAAAAAAAAACAGCCTGAGCAGAAAAGTTTGTGACATTCTTATCTCAAATTAACCACCAAAATGCCAGAAGCAGAGATGTGGCTTAAATGGTAAAATGCCAGCCTTGAGCTAAAAAACTAAGGGACAGCTCCAAGGGCTTGAGTTTAAGCCTCAGTATAAGAATGTATACACACACACACACACACACACACACACACACACACACACACCTAAATGTCAAGATATTTCCCCATCATTCTGTATGTTCTGTTCACTGGAGGCTGAAAGTTGATTAGTATTTACAGCTCACTTCCCCACCTAACCACCAGTCAAACTTTTTAAGTACAAAGCCAGATCTCTGTAATTTACTGTTCCCTCCAAGAGCATTGTAAGGTAGGAAACAAATTACAACCTGTGGTTTTCTTTGTATGTTGATCTTTTTCTATTCCAGTTTGATGTGTTATTTTATGCACTTATCTGCTGAGAAACACAAGGTGTGAAATTACACTTCAGGTGTGAAAACACTTCTCTGTCTCAGAAACAGGGCTCTCCACTCTTCAAACTGTTCCACGGGAAAAGCTGTCAGAAAACTGACAATGGGGAGTGTGCCTGCCTTACCTCCGAGCTCCAGCTACTCTTTCCTGCGGGAGGAGTTCAATCCAGGTGCCAACTGACTGTGGCAGTTCTGCTGTCAAGCCAGAAAGAATTGAGTTCATTTTGCAAACTAAGTCATGCTCACTTCATCAGGAGCAGTTTCAAGCCTTCTCCTGTCACAAGATCATTTTCTCAGGCTGACAAAGACCAGTTACTATGAACCACCATTACAGAGGTTGGATCATATGTGGAAGACACAAGAGGGGAAATAATCTTAGAAATAATCCGGTCCAGACCAAAGGAAGGAAAATGTGTTAGATTGTCCAGTTCCAAAGGAAAGTTTTCATCAACACTGGCAAGTTGACCACTTCTTAATGTTCAGAGCTGGGATTGTATCCAAGAAATCTTACTATTAAGGAATATATGGGGAAGGTGACTGGGTTTTTTTTTGGGGGGAGGGAGGGTGCTAAGTGCTGACTCTGAAGAAAGTACCAGTAAAACCGACAGATAAAGAGTTCAGGTGTATCCAACTTAAATGAGTGTTGACTTAACTCTCTGGAAATTGATCATAGTGGCTATAAAATAGCACTGAGCGGTATTTTATTTTCTGATGACAATTCGGAGAGCTTGAGAGCATCTTTACTAACATGGAGCCATTGCCTGAAGGCTGAATGGGCTCATGGTCCCTTTGGCAGTCCTGTCAATGGCTTTATTGGTATATATTAAAATGCTTACAATGGTGTACAAACCCCAATTTAACATAGCACCAACTAAGTCATTCGTAACTCAGAGGCATTTTTTTCAAAGAAACAACATAGGGCTCAGTAGTTCATCACTGAACAAAAATCTTGCCATTCACAGCATAAGGTCCTGCCAATGAAACTATAGAGTAGGGTCAGAGTCCCCATGAATCTCTGCAATACAAGGCAAAGAAATGTAATATGACGATTTAGCCAACCTTCCCTTTTGACTTATTAATATTTACAAAGTTTTGCAAACACACAAGAGAATGGAGAGGGGCTGGGAAGATGGCTCAGTGGTAGAGCGCTTGCCTTGCATGCCTTAGTCCCTGGGTTTGATTCCTCAGCACCACATAAGCAAAAAGAAAAAAGCCGGAAGTGGCACTGTGGCTCAAGTGGTAGAGCCCTAGCCTTGAGCTGAAGAGCTGAGGGACAGGGGCCAGGCCCTGAGTTCAGGCCCCACGACCGGACACCCCCCCAAAAAAAGAGAGAGAATGGAGAATAATCTCATCCATACCAACTTGAGATCATTAGCATTGTTGTCCAATGTTTAAGAAATACGTGTCACAACTGAAGATCATTGAGCATTCTACAATATGTTCAACTTCACCTGTGTAGTTCATCTCCATGTATGTTTTTTTTTCTTATTAAAAATTTATTTTTCTTTCTTGTGCAATTTTAATTTATTACAAATTTGAAGGCTTGGTCTTTTTTTTTTTTGGTTGCTTGTTTGGCATATTTCTGAACCCTTATTATAGAAGTCAATATAAATGAAGATATCCAAAATATATTCAACAGTATTCTGTGTGTTAAAAACATTAAGGTCAGGGGGTTGGGAAGGTGGCTCAGTGGTAGAGTGCTTGCCTTGCATGCTTGAGGCCCTGGGTTGATTCCTCAGCACCACATAAACAAAAAGAAAAAAGCTGGAAGTGGCACTGTGGCTCAAGTGGTAGAGCGCTAGCCTTGAGCTGAAGAGCTGAGGGATAGTGCCTAGGCCCTATGACAGGACCCCCCCCCAAAAAAAAAACAAAAAAAAATTAAGGTCAGGCACCAGTGGATTATGATCCTCTATTTGTGCTTTCCCACATGGCTAGGATGGAAGGCATAAGCCACATCACCCAATTATTGTTTATAGTTGTTTCTATAGTAAAAATATGTAACCTTTTTGTGGAATCATGTTTATCCAGTGTGTTTCTTTTCAGTTGATGCTATTATTAGTGTCTCATAGTTTCTTCTACATATCTTAGGAACTGTTTTTCTGATTTGATCTTTAATCCAGCTAGTCTTTATGTAGTAAGGGAAAAGATCTAACCAATTTTTATATGAGAAGCACTATTCATTAAATAATAATTATCTCTCCCAACTGATTTGTATCGCTTAATCTATCAGATATCAAGGTTCAGGCCTGTGGGTCTTTCCATAAGCCTGATAATGCAATTATCAGCATTTTATGGTATCTTCTTATCTACTATAATTAATCCCTCTATCATCTTTTCAAATCCTGTCCCAGCTATTTCAATCTTTTCTTGCTTTAACTGGATCTTGCAGGTAGACAAATTCTTTAAAAAACAAACAAAACAAAACAAACAACAACAAAAACCCAGTTGAGATTTTGACTGGGATTATACTTAGTAAATGAAATGATTTGGGAAAAGTTTTTGAAAATATTCACATTGATGAACATGGTATATCTATCAATTAGTTTCCTTTTGTGTTTTGCAAAAGGTGTTAGCACTTTTTCCTCTCTCCTATAACTTTTGTACTCATCTGTTATTCATGTTAACT